ACTTTTACATATAAAATTTTGGAAAATATTACTCTCATGTTACATGAGAGTAGTTCTCTCATGCTATAGAGAGAATCGAAGTGAGGCCCACCATTAAAAAGAAAAAAAGAAGGGGTGTGATTTTCGAAGTGAGACAAAATGAGATAACTATCTTATGTAAAATGAGAGTAGTATTTCCCTAAAATTTTACACCAATCTTGTAGCATTTCATTTTATAAATAATAAAAGTTATGTATGTTCTAACACATTATCTCTCTAATTTCTTTTCTTTTTTAATAAGTAAAATGAAAAAAATTAATATAAGATTTTTCATGAACATCATTTTCATAATTTAAATGATATTTAATAGGGTTGAATGAAACAAGTCAACTTTATTCGGTAGCGTGGCGTGGTTCTGAATTCTGATGATGTGTCGAGTGTTCTCTCAGTTTGACATGAATAAGAAAAACAAAAGGCGTTGGTGTTCTTCGCCTTGGAAGACAAAGAAGAAAAGTGTTAGATTCTAACACACCGAAACATTCGGCGACTAATAGCAAACTGATAAATGAGACGGGGATTCATGGAGATGCAGAGTCTCTCCGGGTTCTGATTTTCACAATTCACCAGATCCCATGCGGCGTTAATTATAGTCACACTTTCGTGTTTTGGATTGGTCCAACCCGTGGGGTTTCTTTTGTTTCCAAACATTTATTACTTTGTTGGGTGGTTTCTGCAAATGCTGAATTAATAATGGATTGTACTGCATGTGTTGCTCTCTTTATTTTATCTCTCTTTTCTTTATAGCCTCTGTTTCTTTTTTTTTGTCCTTTATCTGACACCATCAAATTCTTCATTATTTCCCTTCACCCCCTTCTTTTACCTTTTGTATCTGATGCATCCTATTCAGCGTTTAAAAGTGGAATAGCTCATCTCATCCCACCCCATCATCCAAAAATGGACCTGAAAAGTTAAAAAGGGAAGTTACCATTCTACTTGCTGTCTTGACAAAATTATATGTACCTAACTGTTGATTTAACTATTCAAATTGACCCTCGGAAGAGAGGAACACTGTAGTTTGCAATAGGTCTATTGATGTCAAACATTCTTTTGGGGAAGTCCTAGTTATTCTTTTTAGTGCTTGATTTGTTCTCACAAAATTTGGAATATTTGCGTAACTGTTTTACTATAAATTGTGCAACACTATACTAGTATAAATATTGTATTTTAGTAATGCTATTCACTACAAGGTCTCACATTTTTTTTCTATTAATGTTCATATGCATATATAAGCGATATGCGAAGTTCTTGTCTTGATAGATTATATAAATATCAATTTTCTGTTTAAATCATCTCACAAACAGTATTATTGTACTGTGCTAGTGGAGAGCATTTTCGGTACAATGATGATATTAAAAATTTGATGCGATAGTGTATTTTATACTAAGTCTTAAGTCTGACTATTAAGATTTAATGTAAAATATAAAAATAGCTTTTTTTATTTTCTTTCTTTAAAAAAAGTTGTTGACATGGTGCAATATCATTGACTTGTCGTAGATGCAACCGTGATATTATAAATTTTTCCGTGCTAGTGAGTTCAGCTGGGAAAATCTAATGTGATGAAAGAGCAAATCAAATTACATACTCATTGTGTATTAACTTCTTGAAATATATTAAAACTAAAAAAGCACAACAGTTACCAATAAATTTAATTTTCAGATTCATTATATTCAATGTGTACACCAGTTGCTTATAATATAAATAATTATTTCAAAGTTAGAAAAAAAATTATATTTTCATGACATTTTTTTTATACAATGGAGGAAATTACATATCAGACACAAGGAAGGAGCTAATATGAAATTAACAAAGGTATATGCAATTAACTCCATTATGTAATAGGCAAAAACTTTCAACGAGTCATAATTAGAACAGTTGAAACTTGAAACTGTTTCTGTTTGAAACTTTTAAAATGAGTAACAACAACCTGTAGTTGTAGACATCAAGGACCAACAATGAATTATGGGATGCTGTTAGAAATTTAATGCATGTCTATGGAGGCCAGTTTTGCAGCTCAGCAAGTCCCACGGATGCTGGGGGGCCATCACCAGTTTTTTTCCATATGTGAATAACCTAATTTATTGTGTTTGTGAATAGAAGGCAACACATGAACCCTGTTGTTTCAAATGACAATTCTCTGCAGATATTTTCATTACTTGTGATCTTCTTCTTTATCCTTTTTTTTAATGCCATTCAGTTCGGGACACTTTTTAGGACTATTATCATTTAGAACATGTTCTTGATTAATAAATTGTAGTTTTAATTGCACTCACTCCTATATAATACAAGTTCTAAAAATTTAATTTGATGAACTTAAACTTGAATCTGTTTTATTGATGTTTTGGATAATTGGACAAATGTGGTTTTAAGTTTTAACAGCTCTAAAAGTGGTCCTTTATTTTAAAATAATTTGATACCCCCAGGCATAGTTTGCGAATTATGATTAGTGTGTATTTGAATAAAGTTCGTACACACAAATTTGTAGTGACAATTACCAAAATTAATAGTGTTATTATCTAAAATCTCTTATAATGCATTAACCTTATGAAAAAAAAAAAAACTCCATTAATAAAGCCCACGGCTCAAAAGCCTCACTCAAACTAAAATTACCTTGTCAATTTCGTGCGTTTACTTTCTAAGGCTTTTGCAAATCTATCCGTAGAGAAAGAAAGAAGGGACAAAAACAAGTGGTTTAAGTTTCGACACAGGGCGACAGCTTTTATATTTGTAATTTAATTTTTTAAATATGAATGGTAGATAAAACTTTATATTAATTTTAGGGAGCGTTTGGTTCAGGAGAAATTTTTTGAATAATAAGGAAATGTAATTGATAGGGAAATGGTTGGAAAGTGAGTTTGGTAGGAAAATGTAAAAAAAGTTGTTTGGTTGAGTAAAAATTTACGAGGAAAATTATGTGAAATTCTTGAATGTGTGTTTGGTTGAAGATAAAATATTGATGGGTAAATTTAGTGAAATTACAAAATAACTCTCCGACTAAATAACCCTTTTATTTTACAAATTTATTGACCCAACGACAACATCCACAACGTCTTTCTCTGTCTATGTTTGCCATCTCTGTCTCTCTCCCACTCCGTCTCCGTCTCTGTTTATGTTTGCCATCTCTCCCACTCCCACGCTAGCTGCGCCAAGTTGACGCCATTAGCGTCAACTTCAAGCTAATGGCGCCAACTTTGATGTTAAAAGCCAAGAATTTCACGCAAGGTTGCGCCAAATGAAGGAGAGTCACTGCAATCCCACGCAAATGGCGTGGAAATGAAGCTAACAGCATCGGTGATTTGAAACAGCATTTTGTGTTTGCACATTCTTCTTGCACCTGTTGAAGCTAAGAAGGAGGGGTATATTTGTCACCCCATTCTCCACCTTTTTCACATATTCGATTTCCTAAACCAATACCACCTGTTGAAACGGCTTCTTCAACGGTCTTCAAATCCAATTTTTACACTTCTTCTTGCATTGCAGGGCAAGTGGGTTTGATGGGTATATTTTTCAAAAATCCTCAACCAAACGTAGTTTACTTAGATTCCCACATGCACTTAGCCAACAAAGCTTTAACTTCTCCCCAACCAAACACTACCGCGTGTTGCTAGGGGATTTTATTTTGTTGTTTAGGAAAGTGGGGATGAGATTGAAAGGATATCATATTTGGTAGGGGTTTGGAAAAAATTTGCTTAAAAAACTTATTTACATCTAAACAATTTTTTTTAACTTTCTCAACTTTTTATTAAATGACTTAGTTTATTTTTTTAATGGGATTAGTATAAAAGTTTATTTAATAACAAAATATTTAAAAAGTGTCAAAATATATATATGACTTTAATGTTTCTAAAGTGAATGTAGATAAGTTATTTACATTCGCTCCCAAAACGATGTCGTTTTGGGTTGAAAAATTAAAAACTTATAAGGAAAAAGATAATTATAACCCTGAAATAAATTATAATTACAAAAATACATTGATTTCTGCCTCAAAACAACGTCGTTTTGAGCTCACTGTAGATAAGTTATTTACATTGACCGTAGAAAAAATGAACTATATATATATATATTATTCTGATTAAGTCAAATTCTAATTAAATTATGATAAAATTTTCTAATTGCGTAGCATTACTTGCTCTAAAGTAAAATAACATGTACAGTGATAAATTATTAGGATTAGTCCAGTGACGACAAATTTAAATAAGTTGTATCAGATCGTAGATTCGACTGAAAAATAACATTCACTGTGGCAAAAGCTGTATTATTTGACAAAAGGAAAAGCTGTATTAAGAAAGGGTTTTATTATTCTCCTTCAACATAAGATAGGTATCTTATGTTGTAGAGATAAAATAGGTGGATCTCACCATTACAAGAAAAAAGAAAAGAGTAAGATGCAGAAATCGAAATGAGAGAATAGGAGAGAAGTAATCTTATGTAAAATGAGAGTAATATTTCTCATTAACAAAAGACAGAATACGATGTACAAGAAAAACCCATAATCTGCTAAACAGGAACTCACGAAAACCATTAATATAACACATTTAAACAAAGATTACATAATTTTATCTCCTATATATATAAAACTAGGTGGAGCTTATTTTTTTTTCTCTCTCTTCTTTTCACTTGGCTCCATATAAATCTCACAAATTTATATATATATATATATATATATATATATATAAATATAAGATAATTTTATTTCCTATAATACGAAAAATCTCAAATCCTTCAACAAATAATGCAAACCAAAAGTAGGAAATTAACCATAATACCCTTGTAACAGTGTGGCAAGCTTCAGTCATATCAGAAGCAGCACACCTTATTGGGTAATGAACCCTTGGGAAGGGGTTCAACAACAATAATTGTATATTTTACAGAAAAATGTAATGCACAATAACATCAATGCCTGTAAAGAGATCTAAAAATAAAAAATTAGAGTTGGATATAACCCTTAATTTGTCTTTTTCTCTTTTTCTTTCTGCAAAGCCAGATATAACCTTACTTGAGAAAATCTGGAAGTTCATAGTTGTCTGGATCCTCAACTTCATTGATCCAACCATACTTTTCCATGAAAGGGTTGGCCAATGACTCTGGTGGATAGTTATCAATGCAATCTTCCCACACATTTCCATCCCCTAGATCCTTCATTACCTCCCACAAACAGCTGTTGCATTTAAAGCCAGCACCAAAGCTTATCATGAATACTCTGTCTCCCTTCTTGAGCCTCTTCTTGGCTTCCATGTACCCTAACACATACCATAGGCTACTAGCTGATGTGTTCCCAAAACGGTGCAGTGTCATCCTTGCTGGCTCAAGATCATATTCACTGAGATCCAAGCTCATTCCAATGCCATCAATCACAGCCTTTCCTCCTGTATGGATGCAAAAATGATCAACCCCAGTCTTGAAGTTCAATGGTGATTTAGTAATATTTCCCCCACTTGAAGACTTAGGTGAACTACTTTTCTTCAGTTTTTTGATGAATGACATAACCAGAAACCTGAGCAACTCCCTTGTTGGCAAAATCTTTGGTGATATTACCCTTAAATTATCAACAAAAGCTCTTGTAGCTGCCTTTGGGAGAGTTTTCCCAAGGTGAAACCCAAGCCTACCTTGCTCATCTTCCTTTTGAATGCAACAACCATAGGCCTCTTCTCTTGCACCATGATGGGTCCTCACCAAGCACTTCAATCTCAACATGGCCTTGTGCCTTAAGGACCTTTTGTTTGTGAGGAGAATGACACACCCACCAGAACGGAACAAACAATTAGCAAGGATCATTGATCTGTCATTTCCAGAATACCAATTTGGACAAAGAGACTCAGAAGTCACCAAAAGAGCATACTTACTCCTTTGGGACTTAAAAATGTTCTTAATAATGTCCAAAGAAATAAGACTAGCACTACAACCCATTCCAGTGAGATTGTAAACTTTTATGTCATGCCTCATTTTGTAATGGTTAATGATCCGAGAAGATAAGGAAGGAACAGAAGCTAGCATAGAGATATTAACAACTAGTACATCGATCTCAGTAGGGGAAATCCCTGACCTGGCAAGAAGCTTTGAAATGCTGTCATTGAAGAACTCTTCCATTTCAGAGATCCCATCCATTAATGTGGGGTTTGCTTCACGGCCATCAAAGACATTTCTTGGTGCATAAGTTTGCTCCCCAATGCCAGAGCTAACAATGGCTTTGAGGAGAAACTTGTACTCATTGAGACCCAAGTTCTTGTTCCTTGTGATGATCTTGCCACTAAACTCTGTCCCAAGCATTCTATCATCTGTTGGCTTGTAGCATTGGTAATCCAATAAGTAACACTCTTGGTCCCTCCTCTGATCAAACAACCTCCAGATCAGGAAACAGATGTACAATGTTGGAACCACATAAAGTAAAGAGAGGAACTCCATGAGAGTGAGAGAGAAAGAGGGATAAGAGAAATAGATAGATGATATACAGAGGAGCAGATAATTTTGTTGGATCAAAATTTCAAGAGCAGTGTTATATAAAAAGGGAGTGTTGTGTTTGAATTGAGTTGGGCATGTGATGAAATGACAGATGAAATGTCAATTTCTCAACCCCCAACAAACCTTTTTTTAAAATCCTTTCATGTGATATATGAGATTATCTTGTAGGATAGGAGTGCCCACAACTCCACATAACTATATTAAGATAAAAAATAAGAAAATAATAACCCTTAATTCTTATTTAAATGGTTAATTTTTGTTTTTGTTTTTATTCTTATTCTTATTTTATCTTGTGTCACACAAACGGGATCTATTACCATTTTTTTTTTATTGTGTATTTTGGAATCTGGACTTATGACCAACTTTTGGATATTTTGGAACTCTTATGTCAACCCCAAGAGAAAGAAATACCTAAATGAAAATGTGCTCGTTGGGTTGGGGAAAGAAGAGTTGTGAGTCCCCTGTGAATGGTCAAACACCTAAGCTGTATTTAGGATTAGCAGGATAACAAAAGGAAAGGAATAACGGATAAAATGGATAAGGAAAGCAAGAACGATGAAAGGTAAACACTTGGTTACAAATTCACAAAAGTAAGAAAATGAAGCATATTAGTTAGATTAAAACGATTATTGTAATATAAATTTTTAATTTTATCATTCTTTTTTTTTTTTTTTAAGAAAAAGCTTATAGACTACACTTTTTCCTTTCCTAATTTTTTTATACAAAAATTTCTCTCACCAATAGAATTTCTATAAATCTCTCATCCAAACATATATTCTTAATGTTAACTCCTAAGTGATGGTGAAATAACTGGGAGTCTATTCGGCCCTTTAAATATATTATTAAATAAGTGAGTTTGATTGATAAAACTGACTTTCAGATCTATGACCTTATGTGATGCAGACAGTGGATAATAATTAATTTAGAATCTATTAATATAAATGATTTAAATTATGTTAATTAAAACATATTTAGAATCATATTTTAAAATAAAAATAAAAATAATTGAAAATATAATCTAACGAGTCAGTCTCAATAATAATAATATCTCCTATAAGGCATCAACCTTGTAAAAAAAAACCTCCGTTAGTAAAGGAACCCACTGCTCATTCAAATTAAAATTACCTCGTCAATTTCGTGCGTTTACTTTCTAGGGCTTTTGCAAACCTATCCGTATAGCTAGAGAGAGAAAGAAGGGACAAGATAAAACTTTATATTAATCTTATTAAATACCTTGAGTTTATTTTTTTTTAAAGGGATTAGTATAAAGTTTATTTAATAATAAAAATATATTAAAAAGTGTCTATATATATATATATGTGTGTGTGGTGTTAATGTTTCTTATATTATAGGAGATACAATTATTTCCTAGACACACATAAAAATGTAGGGACTCAATGGGATCATTGAAGAGAAGAGAGAGAAAAAAAAAATATGGGTCTTATACATTTAATGCTTTCATCATTTGTATGGTTATGATTCTTCGCATTTAATGCTTTCAAGTATATATATGACAAGTATTTGATTTCTGCACGTTCAGCAGCTGCAGAAATGTTTACCCTATATATATGGGGTAAACATTTCTGCAGTCACTTTAGATAAGCTTATCTACAACTACCCTTTATAACTATGTTCTCCCGGAAGAACATAGTTATAATATTAAAAGTTGCTTTTTTTTTTCTCTCTCCTCATTTATTTTTCAGAAACTGTCTCCTGACGTGGAGAGAGAAAAAAAGCAACTTTAATGATATAACTTTGTTCTCCTGGGAGAACATAGTTATAAATGGGTAGCTGTAGATAAGCTTATCTAAAGTGGTTGTAGAAATATTTTTTCCTATATATATATATATAGGTTAAGCGAATGTAATGAATACAAGGGTTTGTCCGGTCAAAAATTATAACTATGTACTGCGGATAATATATAGTTATATAATATTGAAGTTGTTGTTTTTCTTCAGAAATATAACTATGTACTACATGTAATACATAGTTATAATATTAAAAAAAAATTTCTCTTTCCTCAGTAACTTTTCACAAACAGTTGACGGGTGACGTAAGAGAAAAAAAGTTTAATATTGTAGTACATAGTTAAATTTTTGAAGAAAGAAAAAAAAAACAATTTTAATATTATAACTATGTACTAACCATAATACATAGTTATAATGTTTTGACCGGACAAAAGCTTGTATCCAGTTACATGACACCCAATTTTCATATATATATATATATATATAGGGAAAAACATTTCTCCGGCAGCTTGAGATAAGTTTATCTCCGGCAACTCCAAAACTACGTCGTTTTGTTTATTTATTTCCTTATATTAATTGATTCACCTTTGAATGGTTATGATTCCCTTTTTCTCTCTCTTCCTTGATCACCATTGATCCATCTTTGTATGGTTATGATTTAGTGGCCGGAGATAACGTTATCTCAAACAGCTTGAGAAACGATAAGCCCATATATATATAGGGCTTATCGTTTCTCAAGCTGCTTGAGATAATTTTATCTCTAGCTACTAAATCATAACCATACAAAGATGGATCAATGGTGATAAAGGAAAAGAGAGAAAAATGGAATCATAACCATTCAAAGGTTAATCAATTAATATAAGGAAATAAATAAACAAAACGACGTAGTTTTGGGGTGACTGGAGATAAACTTATCTCAAGTTGCCAGAAAAATATTTTTCCCATATATATATATATATATATATATATGCAAAATGATTTGTCATGTAACTGGATTTAAGGTTTGGTGCGTTCAAAAAATTATAACTATGTACTACGGGTAATACATAATTATAATATTAGAGTTGTATTTTTTTCTCTTTCTTCAGAAATTCAACTATGTACTACAGGTAGTACATAGTTATAATATTAAAGTTATTTTTTCTCTCCTACGTCACCCGATAACTATATGAAAAATTACTAAGTAGAGAGAAAAAAAAAGCTTTAATATTATAACTATGTACTACTAGTAGTACATAGTTAAATTTTTGAAGAAAGAGAAAAAACATAACTTTAATATTATAACTATGTACTACATGTAGTATACAGTTATAACTTTTGACCGCACCAAACCTTAGATCCAGTCATTGTACATCCGCTAAATCCATATATATATATATATATTGATATTTTTCTTCACCAATTTGATTTATACAAATTCTAACTAAATTATGATAAATTTTTCTAATTGCGTAGTGTTTGGTCCTGGGTAGACCGTAAATATTACCGCATAGGTATGCGCTCAGAAATATCTACGAGAGAGATATCTAATTGGCGTAGAACCAATATTTCAATCACCGCGCACAAGCAATAGGCGAATAGCCTGTTGGGCTTCCTCCTTCAATGCTAAGCCCAAGCCCATTGAGAGATTTCCTAAAAATCCTAAACCCTAAATTCCACCTCCTCTATATATTCATTAGTTGTGGTGGAGGCTATAGAAATGATTATTGAGAGACTCTTGAGTCACATTTGAGAGATTTGTGAGTAAAGCTTTGAGCTTTGCATTTAAGAGCACCTCTAGAGAGTTTGAGTGAAACATCTCTAGGGAAGTTTGATTATCACCATTTTTGGAGAGGTTGAGTGAACCACCACTTTGGTGAAGGTTGATTCTTTGTACCCATTATTATAATTGTGGACATTTGAACTGGATTAGGTCACGTGGATTTTTACTTCTTCATTGGAGAAGGTTTTCCCACGTTAAAATCTGCTTGTATTTTTTTTCTCTCTCCTTTGTGTTTTTTTGTTTTTTGGCTGCGCTGCCAGACCTGGTGAAGTTCAGGCCAAGTTAAGATTGCTGAGATCCGAGATCCAGGATCTTGTTGATTGACTTCCGCGAAAAGGCTTCTTAGCCGAGTTGAGGGAACCGAGTTCCCAACAGTGATATCAGAGCTTGGTTCGACGGGTTCTGAGGGAGACGAGATGGAGACCAGTGGCATAACCCACGACAGAGATATATTCAAGCTAACCACATACAATTTCACTTATTGGAGATCGATGATGGAAGATCATCTCTACTGCAAAGATTTACATGAGCCCATTATCCTTGATGAGAGATCGACATGCAAAACCGATAAGGAGTGAGAGATTCTGAGTAGTAAGGCTGTAGCTACAATTAGGAAATACATAGACAAAAGCCTCTTTGAGCGTGTGTCCGAGTTCACGAACGCGTACGAGTTGTGGACGAAGCTGGAGTCCATGATTCAGAAGAAGACTCCCAAGAACAAAGCACATCTGGTTCGCCGACTTGTTAAGCTGGAATACAAGGACAGTATGAGCATGATTGAACACCTACAAAGGTATTGTCAATCAGTTGTATAAAGCCGAGATGAAAAGTGATGACGAGATGCAGGCTTTGCTGTTGTTAAGCTCGCTGCCAGAAAGCTGCGATACTCTGGTGGTGACTTTGAGTAATTCGGCTCCAGAAGAAAAATTGAAGATGGATGTCGTAACAGATAGTCTCCTGAACGAAGAAGCTGGGAGAAGAGAACAAGGTGTTTCTAGCACGTCTGAGGCCAACGTTGCTGAGAACAAAGGAAAATCTGACTTCTGGGGTAGAAGTAAGAGCCAGGGTCGAGATCGTGACAGACGAAAAAAGTTCAGAGGCTGATCAAAGCCGAAATATGAGTTGAAGTGCTTCTATTGTGGGAAGCCAGGGCATAAGAAGCCAGACTGCAGGACTCTGCAGAATGACGAGAAGAATGGCTCTGTTAAGCTGGATCACATTATTCCCAAGAAGAGGGAAGATAAGAGCACCACTGTGGTGGCTGCCAACTCGGATGCCGAGATATTTCTTCTCGGAGAAGACAATTATTTGAATGTTTCATATGATGACTGCACCTGGATTGTTGACTCTGGTGCCTCCTTTCACGTTACTCCACACAAAGGTTTTTTATTCTCTTACCGAGGTGGTGATTTTGGAGTCGTGAAGATAGGAAATCAAGTGACCAGCAAG